TCAATTTAAGTTAATAGACTTAATTTTAAGTTGGTTTCAAGTTTATATTAAAATTATACAATTTATTACAGAATTTGAAAATGGAAAATGATTTAGATCATGAAACGGTATTTTCAGAATTAAACTTGTATCTATATAATGGAATTATATTTTGTACATATAAACAAGATTTCCTATAAAATAGAATTTTTTTTCATATATATGAATTTATTATCTATATATACATTTTTGGTGAAGATTTGGCCTCAAAAATCCTTTTACAATTTCAATATTGTATATTTAGTCCCTACAAGTAAAATCTGGAAAAAATATATGTCTTAATCAAATTTACAAATCAATAAATAAACTGCCCAAACAATTCCTATTTTTATGATAATGAGATTTGAGATCCTAACATATGGAAGTCAAATATTCAAAATTAAAACTCTTAATTAACATATCTACCAAATATAAACAACTAACCAAAACCTAATCGTAATCAAATCTTAATTACCATTGCTTGATAATGCTCTAAAATTAAATAAAAAACTAGATCTTGACCCGCACATACGTGCGGGGTTTCATATTTTTAATTTTTTTTTAACAAATTTTAATTCAATATAAATTATTTCGTTGTTTCTATGATATATATTTTAGTGTATTATATCTGGATTCACACCTCCGTGCAGAGATATTTTTATAGAAATTGTTATATAGATTTTAAAAATATAAAATATTTTGTTGTGTTAGTAAACTTTATAATAGTATAAATATTATAAAATTAGAGTAATGAACGAAATTCAGTTGCGTTAGTGCATAGTTATATTTTAAGATCCTGACCTACACGTACGTGCGAAATTATATTTAAGAGAAAACTAAGATATAATTTAGTTGCAAAAGTTAAATGATGTTACTTTATTCATTTTCTAAACTAATCAAAACATTTCTAATAGTTTGATTACATGTGTTAAATAGGATATAGATTCGGTTTGAGTTTGGTTATTTCATGTATATTAGCTAGGCGTAACTATTTTGGAACGGGAAACCTATCTCGTCTTTTATATGTCATAAATTCATTACTTATATAGATAATAATTAACGGATTATGTTTTTTAATTATCTCTTAAATCTTAACTTTCCTTACTTATATTCGAACAATTGCTAATTACCATTTTAAAGATATGTGATTTGATTCCCTTACCTAAAATATATTTTGTTACGATTATCAATAACACCGAAATTTTGGAGATACTCAAAATAAATACAAAATCAATGAATCTCTAATATTTAACTAAAATAATCTTTGCGATATTTTTTTTCCATATTCTACTAACCACTTGCTAAATATTAGTATATTATTAAATATATCAATCTGTTTACAAAATTCAAATTCATATCCCATATTTTAAGCAACTACAACACACACAAATCAAAACAGTCAACAAAATATTCTGATTTTCCTAAAATATAGTTATCATTAACTATAAAAAATCTCATATATTGTGTTTAATTCGTAACCACGTGATTTAAAATTTGTCATAATTTCAATTAGTTAATGATAATTCCATATTCTGCATCTATAGTTAGTTTTGCGATCTTAACAAAAATATTTTTTAACCAACTTTTAGCAATTAGAATAAATACGTTATAAATGATTTAGAATATTTCTTTGGATCAAGCATATTCTTTTATGTCATCTTTAGGCCTATAAATATTGGAACAAAACAAAAGAGTATCAAGCCAAATTTGCCCGTGCATATGTGTTTTGATCTTTTGACGTCCGGTTTCTCTACCGGCTTTAGATCCCGATTAGTCGGGCTTCTCTTCCGACAGCCACCGACTCTATTGTGGTGTTTGGTCGGCTTTCGTCCAATATCGTTTAGCTCACGTAGCCACGATGATTGGTTTGCTATCGGCCTTTACTTGCCGCTTTGATTTCGGCTTCTTTGGCCGATACAGTTGTTGTTTTTTATGAATAATCTCGATGGTTACCAAGCTTTTGGTTTTCGAGATTCAGATTGTGAGAGTTTCTAAAGCCGAATCTATATGACTAACGATGTGGGCTAGCTAAAATTGCCTCTGTTTTTATCGTCTTTCTTTGCTCTCTCAGTCAAATCTATTTCTTTTGTCGACATGCTTGCTTTGCCATTCGGGTCTTTATCTCTGGTGGTTCATGTCTCAGTGACAAAGTTTTTGTTTTTCTTTGCTTTTGTCGTCTCTGTTGTCACGCCGGAGAAGACCATTGTTTCCAAATGCGGCGATTCACGTGATGTGCTTTGCCGTAACGGCGTAGCCAGTCCCCTCTCTGTGGATCACAAGGTTTTAAAAACAAATCTATATATAATCAAGATTTGGTTAGTATCAATCAAGATCGTATGATTCTAAGAGTTTTTGTGGTTTTGTGTAGTGATGAACAGCCGGATCAACCCGATGAATTGATTTGGATCCAGCAAGCAGGTGGGCGGGTTATTATTGGTATGTAGGTAGGGTTCTTAGAGTTCTTGCCATGTCTAGAGCAATTGGTGAGTGAATCTCTCTTTGTGATTCGAATTCGTAAAGCTATTTTAATAACATGTTTGAATTAAAACTGTTGATTTTTGTTTTTGTTTACATAGGCCATATTTATTTGAAACCATATGACGACGACGACGGATCCGAAAGTAACAGTGACAGATTGAACCGACGACGACGAGTGTTTGATCTTGGCGAGTGATGGACTATGGGATGTTGTACCAAATGAGAAGGCGTTATAGCATGGCTCGCATGTGCCCTCGAGGTGCTGGTGGAGCGGATGGTGATGATTCCGTTGCAGCAGCGACACACAATGCTTGCTCTGATGCTTCGTTGCTATTAACGAAGTTGGCTCTAGCAAGACCGACCTCCGATAACGTGAGTGTTGTGGTGCTGTGGTTGATTGTAATTACATATCAAGTTACCCTTTTTCAATATTTGGTTTGTATATTGGTTTTTCACTTTGATCCTAATTTGGATTTGATAAAACTTCTTAGGATTCATGTGATATATTATAAGAGATTGTGTTTGATAAAGAAGATGTGAGATGAAGAAGCTCTATACGGTTTGTCACTTTAGAATAATCAAATTTTTAGCTTTTGATTATTTTACGTTTTTGTTTTATTGTGAATAATAGCTTTTATAACTTTTTGATTATAAATATTTTTAACTTGCTAAATTTTTTAATGATCATAGATCATATGATGGAGCGGGTTAGAATTTACATATATAGAATAATATAGTTTTGATATACACAAAATTAAAAAAGTTGATAATATTAATAATATTTGAATTCCATAAAAAAAAATATATTTATTATGAAACTATTTAAAAACAAACTGTTAAATTAGCTTAAATTATATGTCTTTTAAATAAAAGTATTGTTAAAAAGAAAAATAACAAAATGATGTTTAGTTTCACATGACGGGGTTATATGGGGAGACGAGACGGTATACTACGGGTGAAATTTTAGAATTAACAATCAAAATACAATTATGCAATCTTAAATACTAAACAAAACAAACAATATTAACAAAATAAATGCAACTTAAAATTTAATTTTTTTTTAAAAAAATATCGTCCCTCGGTTTACCGTACCATAAACAAAAGTTATAAACTAACACAGATATTTGCACATATAAATATGGTTATACAACAAACACAATAAGATGATACGTTATTTGCACACGCCGCGGTACATCGCCGCTTACTAAAATAGTAATCTCATTTTTTTTTATATAAATATTCAAACATACAACATACTAATCGTACAATTAACACTATATAGATTTCTATATACATTCTAATCACACATGTAAATAAGTTATATAAAGACTTATTATATTTAAAATTTATATTAATTTTTCTCAAACAAACATATATTATTTTTTAAAAATAAAAATATAATCCCGCGGTGTACCGCGGGTCAATCCCTAGTAGATATAGAATTTCAGTGTTAAGAAAAAAAGTCAACCGTCATTTGTACCAGTAATTTTGTTTTTTTTTTTCAAAATTCATAACCAACATGTTAGATTAAATGAAATGAATTAGGAAAGATGGCAGGTTAAATAAAACGTGTTAAGATCATATGGTGAGATAGTAAATAAGTTTTGATACCTATAAATTTTTGCAAATTCGATTATTAAACTTTATCATTTGTCCCATATATTTGCAATTGCATTACAACATAAATTCAATTGTAACCATTATTTGCAATTGTATAATCAACTTATAACTATTTAAAAAATAAAACTTAACCAAACTTGAAAACAAAATTAAAAATTATACAGCCCTCTATTAAGATAGATTAACAAAATCTAGTATAATTCAACAAAAAATAATATAACTAAAATGAATATTTAACAAAAATAAGACATAAATATATTTTTCTATTAAAATAACATCACCTATCGTATTTTTAAAATATAAAGTTACAATATGGAATTTAAAATGGATCATAATCTAGTATAACATATTTATTAGAATAAACATATTTTTAGAATTGATTTATTTATTAAAATAAAAATATTTTGAAAATTGATTTATTTATAAGAATAACTATGATAAATCTGTTCTAAAAGATTTATGAAAATAATTTCGAAAAAACATATATTAAAAATTCTATAATTTAGTCTTATATTACTATTTTAAGTTATTTTTCACGGATACAGCAGAAATATTTTTTTATATGGCTAGTTATTTTTTGGATATAGATCCAGATATAGTAAAATAAATTGAGTCCATTTCGTTATAGAGCAAAAGAAATCATATTAACAAAAGTAGTAAAAATATATTAAAAATAAATCACAAATCTATATTATAATTATTTTAATTAGATTAAAGCACTATAAAACAAAAAAAATTAATGTATGCATAACTATTTACCTATATACTTAGATTAGGGTTTTTATACCTTAAAAGCAACCAATGCAGAGTCCATTGTATTGACAATCAAATCCCGGTTTTAAGTTGCATCTTCTTACAAGTTACATTAATCGGTGCCATAGGACGGACCATAATCTAGTATATTATATATTTTTAGTTCAATTTTGTGTGATGAACTTAAAAAGTCAAACTAAAAAGTAAGAAGATGCAACTTAAAAAACAGAGTACAAAAATTTCACAAAGGGAACATTTAAGAATCTCAAAATTCCAGTCTGATAATTCTATGAGAATGTGACAAGTACAACAATACCTTAAGGCAAGTTGTGTGGTAGCAACACGACATATACTTCTCACAGCCATAGCCTAATTGTTCACTTATAATCTTGACTAAGTAAAAGAGGGATGCTATAAGATCCTAAATCACATCTAATCCCAATAATCAAGGCTGCTACATTCAATCTCTTTGATGTCGTTCTCTAGATATTCAGTTCACTTGCACTGTTTTGATCGGAAATTCTCAGTGGATAATAACGAAGTTACCAGATTCTCGAGCCGTCTAGCGCCTGGACCAGGCCTGATAACATCAGTATCACCAATAACAGCACACGGATCACTCCCATTCTTATAGCTTCCAATGCACCAACCACCAGGTGTAGCCATCCCAGGACCTCTGTTAAGGAGCTCATCATCGATCTTGTCAAGGACAGGATCTTCTCTTCTGAATTTTCTTGCAAACGGGGCATTGCTATCTACCATTTTAGTCATGTCTGCAAGAGTGAGATGGTGTGGATGCTGCTTCGGCGGATTGTCCCACGATATGAAGTGCAGGTCGCTATTTACTGTTGTGTTTCTGAATTCCTCCGCGTTGCAGAGAACAGTGTGAAAATATCCTTCTGGAGAAGAGAGAAAATTCGAGTAATACATTAAGACGGTACGAGGTAGATTATCCCAACCCCAAATACAGTAGTCGATGAATGGCCGAGATAACGCCATCCAAGCAGAGCCTGTTCCCAAGAATTACATATTAGTTAAAGAAAATCTAAAATTGTAACAATGTGAGAATCAACTGGCTGATATAGACTCTCAAGAAAAGTCTTCCCAGCAATCAAAGGCAACACATAACACCAACTTTTTAGTATTATCGCAGATCTTATCAAATGTTCTAAATATGATGAAAGTTTTGCCTAGCAATCTAAGCATAATGATTCCACGTTGTTCAACCAATAAGAAATGGAGCAAATCTGAGAAGCACCGACCAAACTAAACAGCTAAGCAACATAAAGACAATCAATCAAATCAAGTCTGTGAATTGCTCAGAGAATAGAAAGATTTGCCTAGGAATCTAAACATGATGATTCAGTGTTTCATCCAACTATACATGAATCAAATCATAGCAATCTCAGAGATGATTATAGTCTAACAAACCAAGTAGGTTTTAGAGGGATCAAGCACCTGTGAAGAGCTTGAATGCTGTAGGGATGCTTCGCCTTTGCGTAACCCAAAAAACATCAGATTTCTTGTTCAAATACAGTCCAGGATCTATAATTACCGGTTTTGCTCTTTGTGATCTGAAAGAAACCAAATCAAAACAACTCCAAAATCAGAGTTCCTTCTACTACATTAAAACAAAAGATACAGAAAACAAAAAATCTTCTTACGCTTTCCATCCAATGTTACTAGTATGATCAATGAAGTTCAAATCCCGCGGCAAATGCGAAAAGATATGCAACAAATCTGACACACAAAAATGTCAAATCTTTAGTGAAGAAATCATAATTCATAACCAAAAGTTTCAATTTTTATCAAACAGTTCCTCAAAAACCTCACCATCTTGAGTCACTAAAGGATAATCTGAAGAGCTAAGATTAATAAACCAATCCCAATCAGCTCCTTCTCTAAGCAAAATCGCCGCAGCGTGAAGTGTATTCGCAACCATCGTAGGTCCACGATACGTGACAAGATTAGCTTTCTCAATCATATGAACATTCATAAACCTTCCAAACAAAGATGAGTTTTTGATATATCCATGAAGCTCCTCTCTCTCTTCCTTGGAAGATTCTCTATCTAAATGAACAACATACCGATTATTCGGATGATAAAGAGCCAAAAGAGTTCGCCGGAGAGATTTCCCGTCACCGGCGGATCCAGAAATCAAGTAAGCAAAACGCGGTGGCGATGGGAGTGATGAGATTTGTTGAGGTTTGATTTTGGATTCAACGAAAGCTGAAGAACCAGATCCGGTTAACAAAACGGGTCGGGTAAAAGGGAGAAATCGGACTCCGGTTGGTGAAGTTAGGGTTGTTGTGAGGAAGAGTAAGAACAAAGCGAAGATTGAACCAATCAAAAGAGGGAATATAATCCATTTTCTCTCTGAAGAAACAACATTGTTATGATGATGATGATGATGATGATTCTGATGATGTCTCACATTTGAGTAATAGCTTCTCAATTTCTTCATCGAAATCTCCCAAAATAAAAAAATGGTCAATTCAAAGTTTGACACATTTTTCTTCACTGGTTTTTGTCAATACGTTACAAAAGAAGAAAACCCATTTTTAAAAACTGAAACTTTTGGAAGAAATTTGAGATTTTGTGATTAGGGTTTTTGGTTTTTGATCAATGAGATTGAAGAAATAACGTTAGTAAGAGAGAAGAGATTGAAGAAGGAACTGAAGAAACAGATATGGAAATAACGAAAAGAGAAAGATTATTACTGGTCAAGAGCATTAAAATCAGATCTTAGTAGGTATGAAATAAATTAAAAAAAAAAAAAAAGAAATTCTGGAATCTATGTGATGGGCCACTAAAAAGCCCATGAACTTGGAACATAGAAGTCAACGAAGGACTTTATTCGTTAGACACAAATAAATAAAGTAACCAGTGTCTAACTAATTTAGAGAGTGTTGTCCATTTCAGACAATTTGGATATTGGGTTGCAATAGATTGTTGCATAGAGCAGTGTGAACATAAATTGTTTACTCGAGAAAGCACAAGAAGAATTTTATGACATTATTCATCCAGAAAACGGCTTTAAGATAGCTCGTTCTCTCATTCGATTCATGACTCTTGAAGCATCGTTCAGTTTATCTGCTCTCTCATACAAAGCCGCCACAACCAAATGCAACTCCTTGCTATTGACATTAGGATCAGATTCCAATCTCTCAAACAACGATTCAACCATCTCAAAATCTTTCTTCGATGAGTATAAACTCAGCATTTGGAAATGAACTTCATCAGGGAAAACACAGCCTTCCTCTTGCATTTCTCTGTAAACCGTATCTGCTTTTTCAAACTCTCTTTGTTTCCCGTACGCGTTCAACACCATAGCTATCGCATTCGAATCCGGAAAGTAACCAGCGGTTCTCATTTTCTCAAACACTTCGATGACATTTACGTACCTTTGGTTTCTTGAGTAAAGATTGATCATAGAGCCAAATACTGATATGTCTTTTACCTCCCCGGATTCAAAAGCTTGACGAAAAACCCATGTCGCCTCTTCCGTTCTCCCGGCTTTAGCCAGAATGGTGATAGCGGTTTCCCGAGGAATATTATCAGGGAGCTTTAACTCGTGAAGCAGACGTTTAGCATGACCCATTAGACCAACTCTTTCATATGCCACAATCATGGTTTGATACAGAACTTGATCGATTTCCACACCCGAGCTCCTCAGCTTCTGAAACAGTGTCGCAGCTCGGTCCAATTTCCCAGCTTTTCCCCATATTGATATAATAGTTGAGTAGGTAATGGCATTAGGTTCAATTCCTCGGCTCTGCATCTCTTGAACAAGATTCGTGGCCTTTTCGTGCTCCATAGTTTTCCCATAGATCTTAATCATCGTGTTGTACGTAACAACGTTCTGTTCAATGTCTTTCCTCTGCATCAACCTGAAAAGATGAATTGCTTCACCGAAAAGCTCAGCCTCGCCGTAAACACGAAGGATAGTATTGTAGCTAACAACATTTGGTTCGATATCCATTTTCCTCAAACTCCAAAACAACCTATCAGCTTCTTTAACCATGTCAAGCTGACCATAAACATCAATCATTATATTACATGTCGTGAGATCCAACGGACAATTCACCTCTTTCATCTCTGCGAAAACCGATAAAGCTTCTAAAAACTTCTGGTTCTCTACATAAACACTCAAAAGAGTGGAGTAACTAACTGTGTTTGGTAAGACACCAGCTTCATTCATCTCCTTTATAAGCAACCGCGCCTCTTTGAACAATTTGGCCTTTCCATAAACATTAATCATCGAATTATACGCAACAAGATCAGGCGTAATACCAGACCTCTTCAACCTCGAGAAAATCGAGATAGCCTTTGAGTAATCACACAGCCTCCTAGAAAGCTCAATGAGGTTGCTATACAAAACAAGGTCACCAGAAACACGGTCTTGTTCCATCTTTTGAAGCCAAGACAAAGCCGAATCAAACATACCCTCTTTCCCAAACGAAGTAATTAGCGTCGAATAAGTATACCTATCAGGTGCAAGAGCTCTCTGACGCATTTCGTCGAACAGTCCGTGTGCAATATCAAATTGCTTAGCTCTTAAGACATTTCGAAGAACTACATTGTAGGCGAACACAGAAGGTGTGTATTTAGCTTCTTCATGAACCCAATCGAGCAATGCTAATGATCTCTGCCAATCATTTTCTCGAGAAAGAAGAGAAACCATGAACCGTATAGACAATTGTCTGTCTTTGTAAGTTGAAAGCAGAGAAAAAAGCTCTTTTTCGTTCTGGGTCTGATGAATTGAAGCTAAAAGCTCGTCCATGTCGACGTTGTGATCGAGAAAAGCAGATCTTTGATACCTCCGATGTTTCCTTAACGCCTGAAACGACGACGTTGTGTTCTTCTCCGGTTGTTTTCTCCATACCTTTTTGGTTTGTGTAGATGGTGATGATGATGAAGAAGCAGAGACTGTGAAGATGAGATTGCGTTGTCTAGCTTCAGGAATGGTGAAGAAGGGTATGCAAGTGTAAATATGAGGTCTGGTTAAGGGTAAAAATGGAAGAGAAAGTGAAGAAGATGAAGCAATTTCTATACATCTTACAAAAGGATTTTACAATTCTTCAAAAAGAAGAGACATTATATATTACTAGGTTTAAAACCCGCGCTACGCTGCGGGCTATTTTTCTTAAACTGTGTTTGAATTCCAGTTTAGATAAAAAAAAATTCTTAAAAAACTAATCTTATATATTCTAGAGTCATGTTTCATTACACATGCTTCTTTTGAAAAAAATTAAGAGGGTTAGTGGTTTTATTGCAATGCTTATAAAGAACCGTTTTAGTAGCTTTTTTTCGTTAATATATATGTTGAAAATACATAGAAAAAATAATCTCTGTAACAAAATTGATTTTGAAATGATTTTGGGGTGGCTAATCGCATATAAGTGAAGTGAGTTTGAAGGAGTAAGTCAGAGCGGGATATGTTTATAAATTAATTTTGTTTTATTATAATAATACAAATATTTTGTTTTATTATAAATATATAGGAATTTAAAAAGCTTTTAGAATTAATATTTTACTTTTGCTCAGATTTTATAGTTTTTATTGTCATACATTTTGTATTTCAATATTATAATGTAATCACTTAAACCGTATGAAAAAAGATGATTCTTCCTTCATGTGTGTTCGTTTGATGATCACATGGTTTAGGTTCAATAACCTCAATAATAAACTAAGCAGCCACTACGACGAACACCACAAATCAACTCTCGACAATTAAGTTCGGTTAATGGAATCAGTTACACGTAAGATCTCTTGGTTTAGGCTTAATCTTATCTTCCACTTGAGTGTGAAATCAATGGCATAAACAGTGACTTCATTTTGTTTTTTTGTATGTCCAAGTAATTTAACACTTTGTCTTTGTAGCAACTTAATTACATGGAAATTCTTAAAAGTCTACTCTTTTAAGTCGTCCTCTTGGCTGATACTACCTTGAGTTCGAAGCATTCCACTACCACGAATAACTCAATTTTCTTATGTCTCCTCTTACTCACATTTTAAAATCTTGTGTGCGCTCATCAAAACCAGAAAATTGCAGCCATGAACCCATCCTTATCCAACCCAAGACAGTCCTACTTCATTCTAGCTTCAAGATTTCAATCCTATAATCTAAACCAGCCAGTAAAACCACCACGATAACCAGCATGATTCCAAGCCAAATATTCTAAACCGTTTGTTCCTCTTTCTCAAGCTATCACAAATCAATGACATTTGTTCTGACTTAGAAGAATTTGCAGACTCAATATCTGATTCGTTTTGTTCGATCTTCTCCTCAAAAGCCTCTGTACTTGCTTCTCTAATGATGAAATGTTGATTTCAACTCTGGAATTTCGTCGAACACTTGGTGTGCATTACAGAACAGATCCAAATATAACACATAACTAATCTCACACCCAGCTACATACAGAGGCCAAGTATAACAATCTCATACATAAGCTAATCACCAAAATCAGCAACATAGAGGACAAGAATTTGCAAATTACAATTTCAGAAACTTGACAGCCAAATATAACGCACATAGCTAATCTCACATGAAACCAAAATACACAAATCATCAAAGCTAAATCTCTCTGTCACAAACTAATTATATCAAAATTCTTAATATATCAAATTCTCACAAACACAATAAAAATTCGTTGAAAAAAAAAAGAATTAATCCAAGCACAGCTCCTAAACTTCACCGTAGCTGTAGTCGACACAGGTCAAAGACTCATTATCAGATAAATCACAAAACATAAACCATTGATCAGATCAATCAAATGATAAGTATCCTAAGTAAATCGTGTGCAAGTTCTTAGAACCAAACAAATCGAAACAAAAGGCTAGAAACAGAGAGAGAATGACGTGGAAGGAGAAATGATATTAGTGGATAACAAAATTGAGCTGTATTAATGTTATAATTTTATTGGACAAAGTTTTTAACGATGTGTCAGGCTGAGAACAGCTGAAAAAGCTGATGTGTCAACCCAGGAGAGAAACCTAGTGTTATTATTGTATTGATGATATAGTTCTAAATAAACGACACCGTTTAGTTTTCGGTTTTTTTTTTCCCGCAACGACCGCACTGTTGACCACATTGACTTTTGAGTTTTGAGACTAATTAATTAAACATGTAGATTTGATTATGAAGAAGACAAAGAGCATTGGATTTAATGAGGCACGAAACTTTAAAGAAAATTAAAACTATGGGATTCTTTTGTATGAATAATGTAAAATTAAAACTCCGTTTATTTGTTCAGTTAGTCAACATAACGATGTGACTTATTTGGTAAACTCAACAAAAGTTAGCGATTAAAATAGAAAATCAACAAAAAAAATGATGATTAAAATGAAAAATCAATAAAAATTAGCGAATTATTTTACCTTAAGTAAAGTTGGCGATTTAGTTTTTGGCATTTTTTCGACAGTTTAGGAATTTTTCTTTTACAATTTTTCCAAATTCAATTGGAGTATTTACCCAAATGTATAGGACGTTTTGGGTAAAAGGATCGTATGATCTATGAAAATCTAACTAGAAAATGCCAAATATTAAGCAAGGAAGACTATAAATGATCACATGCAATTGAAGACCAATAAATGATAAAGATTGAATCATAAAACGAAACTTATTAAATTATAAAAAGAAACTCAATAAATTGTGTTAAATTTGTTATCCAAATTCTTACAAACAAAGTCACAAATCTTTTTTAAGAAAATAAAGAAGACCAAATCTTGAAATTCAATTGAATTATGATCAAATTCTGTAAAAAAAATACATCAGACTAACCTGAGTGTTTCTCCACTACATACAGAAGTGGAAGCTCTTCTCTGGGCGATGAAGTGTATGATTGGAGCCGACAATCAAGAAGTAGCTTTTTATACAGACTATTCAGACCTAGTGAAGATGGTGTCTTCCCCAACCGAATGGCCGACCTTCTCAGTGTATGTAGAAGATTTACAGAGAGAAAAAGAGGAATTTTCAAGCTTCTCTTTATCTTTAATCCCTCGAAGTGCAAATGTAAAAGCGGATAATTTGGCGCGAAAAGTTCGCACCGAACCGCATCACATCACATATGTAAACAACGTTCCTCAGGAATAGTTCTTTCTTTTGAATTTTTAATTAAAAGCTGTTGGAAAAAAAAAAAAAAAAGACTAACCTGAGTGTTGACTTTTGACCAAATTCACTAAAAAGAAAAAAAAAAAACATGTAAGTCCAAATTAATAAATTCATGTACACTCTGACTAAAACTGCTAATGGAGCAAACGTCACCCTCCACCTTTCAACCCTCATCCGCGGCTCGAGCTTCGCAGATCTGGTGGCGAGTCTTCATCTCAGACCCTTGGCTCACCGCATCGACGTGCTCCGCCTCTCTCCACCTCTTCCAATAGCAGGAATCGTTTACTCCGCTTGGTGTCGGTTGTTGTTGTTTCCTCGTTCTGCTCCTCGGGATCCATGACTGAATACTTCTTCACGTCAAAGGGTCACCGCTGCTCTCCCTTCCTCGCCTCCGTCAAAGCTCAAGTGCTATGCCCCCGCTCCGCTTTCATGATCGATGAACCGTTCACCTCCATCAACCGCCGCCGTCGTTTGCACTCTGGATTAGGTCAAACGTCCCGATGGAAGAGCTTGTGTTGGGCTTGGTCCATCTTTTGGACTTATGGGCTTTATTCTGGCCCATTAAGAGTGTTGGGCTGCAAGCTTTATTTGCTCTGCGTTAAGGCTTATATGGCCTGCCCATTAGTACTGCATCAAATTTCACCAACGCCCTCCACCTTCCCTGGTTGTCTCCGTCATCTCCCTTGCCACCCACTCGCTACATCATGCTTCTTCTCACACCGGATCACCGGATACTCCTCTGGTTTCCTCTTGCCTGCACCGATACTCCTTCGGCAGGCCCAGTTTGCATCCAAGCTCGAATCACTTTTGTTGATTCGGCTTCCGCCCAAATTTGGCGAAGTTTGCTCACCGGATACTTCTCCGACGTCCTTCTGCCTGCAATTAAGGCTGATACAGGTTGCTTCCAACCTGGAACCACTTTTGCTGGTTCGTTTGTCATTGCAACGTCACAATGTATGGTGACTATCTCCTTACCGGTTGATGATTATGTGTCGAATGCGTTTTCTTTCATGGGTTTGCTCGTGTTAGTTTGTTTCGACATTTCTCCTGGTGCCCTATCAAGCTTCTTCAAGCTTGTGTCTCTATGTTTGTTTAATGTATGCTCCTATGTTTTATTTTCCAAGCTTGCTATTCGGATATGTCCGAATAAGCCCATTCCGTTTGTATCTTTCTAGGTTGAATGAAAGATTTTAGTGCACAAAAAAAAAAAAAAAAACGAAACTTATTAAATTATAAAAAGAAACTCAATAAATTGTGTTAAATTTGTTATCCAAATTCTTACAAACAAAGTCACAAATCTTTTTTAAGAAAATAAAGAAGACCAAATCATGAAATTCAATTGAATTATGATCAAATTCTGTAAAAAAAATACATCAGACTAACCTGAGTGTTTCTCCACTACATACAGAAGTGGAAGCTCTTCTCTGGGCGATGAAGTGTATGATTGGAGCCGACAATCAAAAAGTAGCTTTTTATACAGACTATTCAGACCTAGTGAAGATGGTGTCTTCCCCAACCGAATGGCCGACCTTCTCAGTGTATGTAGAAGATTTACAGAGAGAAAAAGAGGAATTTTCAAGCTTCTCTTTATCTTTAATCCCTCGAAGTGCAAATGTAAAAGCGGATAATTTGGCGCGAAAAGTTCGCACCGAACCGCATCACATCACATATGTAAACAACGTTCCTCAGGAATAGTTCTTTTGAATTTTTAATTAAAAGCTGTTGGAAAAAAAAAAAAAAGACTAACCTGAGTGTTGACTTTTGACCAAATTCACTAAAAAGTAAAAAAAAAAACACGTAAGTCCAAATTAATAGATTCATGTACACTCTGACTAAAACTGCTAATGGAGCAAACGTCGGGTGAAAAAAGGAAAGAAAAACTTATAACAGTTTTCGCATCATACATACTAGATGGCTAAGTTATAATTGAAAGATTGTCTCTTTCTTTCCTCTCGTATCAGTGAAAACATCCAGGCTAATAATTTCGTTTAAGAGGAAAAATTAATGGTAAGAATTTGAAAGCTTCGAATTTCATTTAAATCGGTTTTGGTGTGTGAGCTCTATGGAGATTCGACCAAAGATCTAAAAACACACATGAGGTTTCTGTAAAAATTTGAAGTGAAGACATCACAACACGGCCACTTCTTCGCAAGCTGATCAGGACCCTTACTTAAATCTAGAACAAAACTTGCAAGCCTTTTTTTCATACATTGGAAACATAAGAACACTGAACATTGCATCAAGATCCAACTTGACTTTTATTGACTTAGTCTCGGACTTGACACATTTCCGCCATCACAACCATCACCAATTCCGGTTATGTTCCACAAGTCTATCACATTATTTTCCCGCTTCACTAGACCAATATAACGAAAAGCTATATTTTTTACTTTATCTTCCAATTGACGACTATCTTCTTTCTTCTGCAGAATCAATCATGGCACTGGCTCCCATTGCAACACTTTCCATAACAGAAGAGCATCTCCTGTCAATTGCTAAAACTCACAAACCAATCTAAGGTAAATCTATCGATACAAAATTTGTAGACCTTAAACGTGAGTACAGATTCTAAAGAAGTTTTTGGATTATTTTGATATAACTTACACATGAAAGATTATGAGAGACTGAGAGTATATGAAATTTGAACTAACTGAAATTTGATTTCGAGGAATATCGTAAGGGGACGGGTTCTAACTAAAAGCAAGAAAGTCGACTCTCACTCGATTCCAAATTACTTGTCTATATTTTGAGGCGGAATATAGTAAGGGGACGGGTTTCTGGTACTCCTCCAAATCAGGGGGAAACCAGTCAGCCTGGAATATACGATTTCATCGAAATCCCTGATGACAACATAGTTAGAATACAAGCCTGGAAAGGAGGTAGCAGAGACAGCGAAAGGTTCAGACTTTGAGAGGAAAATGCAGAGATCTCCAATATCTTGGGTGTAAACAGCGCTTCCGTATTCATTCACCTTGAACACCATTAAAGCTTCTGTCTTCAATTTGGCTATACCATTGATGGTCTCCGCATCAGTCTTCCTGTACTGCTTAACCAAGAAAGTCTCACCAGATGGAGACTCCACCAAGTGTTGGCTTCTGTAGCACGAACGCAAAAGCTCTCGTTTGATCTTGGTCAGCTCGGGAAGGTTTTGAAAATACAACTCCTGAAACTCGGGTGTGTGGTGGTTGAGATCCCATGATGCAATGAGGTGCCCACCAGATCCGGGAATGCGAAACATGCCCTTGGAAAACATGACTCGGGAGGAGAAGAAACATGGGTTTTCGATTCTCACGTTGGTCCACTGGGAGTTGCTTTGAGCGGGTCTGCAAAAGCTGAGTTGAGGTCCCAAGAACTTGACAGCCACAACACAATCTTCATCCTCGGGAGAAGATGAGGACATTGACACGTTTGTTATGATGTCGGTTTGGCAACCAGGCAGAGTTACAAGAGGAGGCAGCGGGATACGTTTCGGGTTTACATCTGATGCAACCGGGTTTAGATCATCTTGGAGACGCAGAATCCCGTCGTCCTTCGTCAAAGTAGCCACCCAGCCATGAGATGCCCCTATCGTTACCATTCTTTGATTATAAAGAAAATTGTACACCAACTCCATAGGCACCTTCTTATCCAATTTAGGGAAGTCATCATCATTAGCATTCGAAATGATGAGCCTTCCCATACGTCCTCCGCAGAGCTCAGCGCCCATGATGGTACAAGGAGGGGTTTGCAGCGGGGTAGATGAGAAGCCATTAGAGAGAAGAAGAAGAGAGAATCTTTTCACCGACGAAGAGCGGCTGAACAACAAAGACATGACTTCTTAACCGAGAAGCCAAAAAAAACCCTAATTGAAGAATTGGTGATGGTTGTTCAATTTTTTGTTTCACCAATAAAACAGAGGGACGACCTTGGCCACCAAGTTCTTTTTTTTGAATATAAACTTTTTTAGAAATAAGATATTTACAGGTGTGATTTTCAAAGGGTTAAGCCTAGAGAAAAAAGATTTGATACATTACTTGACCAAGGACAATAACTAAATCATTAAACGTCTTTATTGCATGGAGAAGCAGCTGCAATTTTAAAGCATGATACCATATCAGAAATCTTGTAGTTCATAGCAAAAGTACGTACATAACAAAAGTTGGTTCACGAACAACCGAAAAAGAAGCTAAAATGACCGTATATAGCCTTCACGAAAGATAAATCCCATCCCGGAAGCTCGAGATTCAGCGGTACCAGAAAACTCTTCTTTTAATTCTCTGGCAAGGTCTTCCACAAGGGTTTTATACAGTCTAAGGTTTACACTGAGAGTACAAGAAAGGAAAATTAGGTTATATTAAAGGGAAATTAGGAAAATTAGTGAGAACGAAATCTCACTTTGCCAAAAGCTGAGACCAAATCTTTTTTTCAGCATAAACGTGAAAATTTCTTTATATTAAAACCTAAAGAATCAGAATTTGAAGTCAATTACCTTGGGTCTGTGTGACCAAAGTAGTGCACAAGAGCCTTAGCAAGAGGAAACCCTTCAACAAGCATTTTGATAGGAGTAGCAGAAACAGTTCCCGGTATGGTCAGATGTTAAGGTCTACAAATTAATGTCGGTTTCCAACCATCTTTCACTGCCCAATTCAGAAGCATCTTAGCCAATGTACTCTTCCCGGAGTCTATATCCCCTAGACCCCTACAATGACAACCCTTGGTCCCTACATCGAACAAAACCATAAAAGAAAATTAAACCGAGAGTTCAAGTTGCTACAAGAATAGTAATTCATGATCTTTAGTAAGAAAAAAAAGAAGTGTCTGCGAAAATACCGAATCACTTGTTGAGGAAGTAACACGATGTCTTTGTCCTTGTAGAGAGTTGTGCACTTCAAGATAGCTCATCATAGGTACGGTGTCAATAACATAAACATTTTTAGTAAAAATACAGCTACACTTAGATATATTATATGAACTAAGAGTGGATGAAACCAAAACCTACCTCACATGATGTATATTCATTTTTTGTGATTCCATTGATTTCAATAGTTGCACCGTACCATGTAAAAACCTGAAAAAGTGAGTAACTTTGTTTTTTGTATCAATATTATCATCATCGACAAAGCAGAGCTATTTTCAGCTGATACACAAGGCCATAAGATGATATGTAGAGAAACTAAAGGACCCACTTCAACTATAAAGCATAACCAGAGTTTAAAATTTGGGGAAGCCAAAACAACACTAGAGTCCTTGATTCTATAATTTTATTGGAACCCTTAAGAATTCAAAACTCATCGAGCGTTCTGAGTACCAATCGGAATCCAAGCATCACCATTTCATGGCTAGTGTAACATTCAATAGTTGTTCTTATAAATAATCTGTTCAAAATTTACATATAAATTGAATTTGAGTGACAAAACTGACTAATTGTTACGGTAAAAGTTTAAACCTTTGGTCTTTTGGACTTAATGTTTAGGGAATCACAACAGAAAGCCAACAAAGACGATTTTATTCATTCATTGCTAGGATCTTAATCTAGAAACATCAAAAGCAATAATACTTGAAAAAAACAACAACAACAACAACAACAGCAACTTGTGCACCAAGGCAATTAGCTATGATCTGTCAGACAAACTGGTAACAGTACTTGTTAAGATATAGTAAAAGCTTTTTAATTCTGGATGCATGACTCTCACTCAATTCCAAAGACAGACTCAATTCCGTCTTATATATTTTGAGGTGGAATATGATAAGGGGCCCCGAATGTAGCAATGTCACCAAGGACGATGGGGGAATCAGCCTCATCTAGCTGGACAAATTTGAGTTCATCGAAATCATAGATTACGACGTGGTTAGACAAGATGCCTGGAAAGGAGGTAGCAGAGACAGCGTAAGGTTCAGACTTCGAGAGGAAAATGCAGAGATCTCCAATGTCTTGGGTGTAAACAGCACTTCCGTATTCATTCAGCTTGAACACCATTAAAGCTTCTGTCTTCAATTTGGCTATACCATTGATGGTCTCCGCGGCGGTCTTCCTGTACCACGTAACCAAGAAGGTCTCACCAGCTGGTGACTCCACCAAGTGTTGGCTCGTAAAACACAAATCTAGAATCTCTCGTTGGGTCTTGGTCAGCTCGGGAAGGTTTTGAAAATGCAAATCCTGAAACTTGGGTGTGTGGTGGTTAACATCCCATGATCCAATGAGGTGCCCACCAGATCCGGGAATGCGAAACATGCCCTTGGAAAACATGACTCGGGAGGAGAAGAAACATGGGTTTTCGATTCTCACGTTGGTCCACTGGGAGTTGCTTTGAGCGGGTCTGCAAAAGCTGAGTTGAGGTCCCAAGAACTTGACAGCCACAACACAGTCTTCATCCTCGGGAGAAGATGAGGACATTGACACGTTTGTTATGATGTTGGTTTGGCAACCATGCAGAGTTACAAGAGGAGGCAGCGGGATGCGTTTCGGGTTTACATCTGATGCAACCGGGTTTAGATCGTCTTGGAGACGCAGAATCCCGTCGTCCTTCGTCAAAGTAGCCACCCAGCCATGAGATGCCCCTATCGTTACCATTCCATCACCTCCTCTTATCAACTCCAAAGGCACCTTCTTATCCGAAAAAGTGAAGCAACTGTCAATATCAGAACCATTCTTCATCATCAAACTCATAGTCACGAGTTTCCCGAGACCCTCTCCACAAGGTTTAGCAGCGAGGATGGAACAAGGAGGGGTTTGCAGCATGGAAGATGAGAACCCATTAGAGAGAAGAAGAAGAGAGAATCTTCTCGCTGACGAAGCTTTCCCAAGCCGGAGCCGGCTGAGAAGCATAGACATCATGAACCCTAATTGAAGAATTGGTAATCTATAAAAAAAAACCCTCGTCCATTATTTAATACAAAGGACATGGCCTTGTCCCCCAAGTTTGGGTCGCTCAGACAAGTATGCGACAAATATTTCAGACATTGGTTAAATTTTTCCATTGAACAAAAGCTAATCGGTTTACATCATTGAAATTGTTGTAAATAATAAACCGACGACAAACCAAAGACTATTTAACCAACTGGAGAATCCCGTCACACCGTCCGATCTCAGTCGCACATTTTAAATCAGATCGGACGATGGACTTATGTAAACCGGAATCTATGTGATGGACCACTAGAAAATTTATAAGTTACTTAAAAATAGTTTGATAATTAATTAGTTGTGAATATAATTTTTATCATAAAAAGAGTACTATTATTAACATAAATGACGTATCTTTTTACTACGTCTAGGTGCATCTGGATGCTAATACAAACACACAAATGAACAAAGTTGTATATAAATACAAAATCTAGTCGGCTTTTTCATACCTACACAAATGAAGTGTGTTGAATTTATACATTTAACTTCTACGTGTGCTAAATCATACATGCACTTTTAAGAAATTTGAATTTCAAACCCGAAGTTAACTTTTTGTGTCAAATCCTACAAAAACGTGCAAAATATTTAACACTGTTAACCCACCGTGAAATCGCAGTGACGCGGATTACACATGTACACCGTCAACACAAAACGACGTCGTTTTACTTAAAATCAAAATTTCAATAAAATAGACATTTGAGGTCTGGAACCCATGACCTCTAATATGCAAAGACTACTCATAACCAATATGCTAACTGAATTCTCTAACCAAAACTATATTTATAACCTTGTTTTTCTTTTTCTTCTTCTTCTCCCATACGACGTCTGCTCCACCGCTCCAGAGTCACCTCCAAAGCGGACATCGTTTTGCTCATCAATTCACATTCGTCGGGTTCGAGATTCACCGAATTGATCGAAGAAGAGAACGACTCGTTCTTAAAACTCATCGATGTTCATAAAAATTCAAATCAAATCGACTAGGTTTGAGGATTTAATCTGACCAAACTCATAAAGAAGCAATCGAGCAAGAGGGAGACGTCATCATCTGAGCCAATTTGGAGGAAGAAGAACCATCGAACTAGTAACTACATCGAATTGTCGTTTCATATTCTATAGAGATTGTGGAGTTTAACGACGATGTGATAACCGGAGAAGAAAGAGGAGAAGAGGAAGAAAAAGAAAAAGAACCCTATCAATATAGGTAAGAACCTATAAATATAGGTTTGGTTAGGGTTACAACGAGAGTTTTATCAGCGTATTGGTTATGAGTTGTCTTTGCATATTAGAGGTCATGGGTTCGAGACCTATAGTGTCTAATTTTTTGAACTTTGATTTTAAGTAAAACGACGTCATTTTGTGTTGACGGTGTACACGTGTAATCCACGTCACTGCGATTTCACGGTGGGTTAACAGTCAGTGCCGTGGCAAGGTCCAGTGAGGCTTAAGGCAAAATTTTAAAATGTGGCCTAATATATTATATTTTTGAGAGAAATTTATTTTTTTAATGTACAAAAATATGGAAATGTTGCCTAGTTTTAAAAAATTTCATGAATAAACAAACAAATGTTAATGATTTGAGTTTTCTTTCCAAAAAAGAAGTCCTAAAACACTAAATAAAAAACCAATGATTTGCTTAATTTAGGAAAAATGTGGCCTTTTATTTGTTTAATTGTTGGTGGCCTAAGGCAATTGCCTTATTTTTTACACATCAGTCACGGCTCTGTTAACAGTGTTAAATATTTTGCACGTTTTTGTAGGATTTGGCACAAAAAGTTAACTTCAGGTTTGAAATTCAAATTTCTTAAAAGGGCATGTATGATTTAGCACACGTAGAAGTTAAATGTATGAATTCAACACACTTCATTTATGCAGGTATGAAAAAGCCGACTTTCCACAAAGTTGTATATAAATACAAAATCTAGTTGTGATAAATGAAAGAAAAAAATATAATAAGCTTCTAAATGGTAGTAGCTTGCACCAAACAAGGTTAAATTCATGTAATATATATTTCTCATGGTAGAGTACTTGCTTGTTTGTGCGGATTAGATACTAGTAACACCTTATATTAACCCTCTTTCTGAAAGAGTGGCTTTCATAGCTTCCAGAGAGTCCTCCATTTCATCACAAAGCTTGTGAGGATTTTGTATGACCGTAGGATCGACCCCTATCGAGATTACCATCTTTTCCGCATAACTTAGGAAATGTATTGTTAACGCCTATAAAAATATAATATGAGAGGATAAAAGAGAAGAATGTTATTAATTAGTTAGTAGTTTTGTTCACATTCATCTGGTGTATACGTACATGAGCATGTCCATAGACACTTGGAGCGATGTAAGCAATGGGGTGGCCAAGGAAATTGATTTCATCCATGGGACCAATCATGTTTGAAATGAATGTGGTCGTGTTCGAAATATGTCGTTTTGGTATTATTGCACCTACCTACAATGACAAGAGTCTTATTCTTAAGTTCCTCAGCGTGAAAATAACAACAATCTTGAGCTCACTTGATCAAATCATATACCTTAGCACTGAATGTATTGAAGATAAATTCTGTAGCTGAATATGCCAAAGCAGCTTGAAGTGAGTGTTTTTTTCGATCAATAGCTGATTTTGCCTTTGATAGATACAACAATGGATCAGTCTCTAAACCGATCGCGATCGGGAAATTAATAAAGCTAAAGTAGTTCCCCCATCTGCATTTCGAATTCGCGGCCATCATCTCTGCCAATGGCTTCATACATGTTGTTGCCTTGTGTCAACATTAATGTTTTCCCTTCTATATATTTAGATAAAGGGTTAATTTAATCTAGTAGTGTAGATTTCTAACCTGGATTCCATTGTCTGACCTTAGGTTTACAAAAACACCTGCCGTAAATCGTATTTTACCAGGAAAACTGCTAAGATAGCGCGAGAGAGCGGCTTGTGTAACTCCAAGTAGAACATCATTGATAGTCTAGCCACAAGAAGACGCAAATTAAAGCAAAACCCTCAGAAAAATAGTCATTGATTAGCCTCAAGAAATAACCCCAAAACGTACATACCATGTTCATAACTTCCTTTATAAGTTTGATGTTATCTAATGAGACAATTCTATGACAAAATTTCTTCTGATTATTCTCGACACCCACATCACCTTTCAGAGGCGTCTTTGTATCCCTCAAGAACAAAGCCGTCGCCAAGAGAAGCAAAATATCCACGAAAGTATTACAAATCAATCTCACTAACGAAAAAACCGCAAGTACCCATCTTAAGAACCATGGGACTTTATCTTTAAGCGCCGTTTTACGCTGTTTAAGTACATGACTAGTAGGAAATGTGTCTTGGTGTGATGTTTTCTGAGTACACGCTATTAGAAGAGACATGAGAGATGTTCCATCTCCCAATGAATGGTGAGATCTTATTACACAAACCGCTTCGGCATCAATCGTTTTGATGTTGAGGATGTGCATGTCCCACAAAGGTCTTGATTTATCGAGAGGAAGCATCGTAAGACGTGAAATATAGTCTTCAACATAACCTTCGCCATCTTCTTCGATCTGGTAGTCTATGTCTGGTACAAATACATGGTTTTCTACATTGACTTGAGTCCTAATCCAACTTCCACCATCATCAGACTATGAAATTTGAGATTAAACACTAATGAGTCATACATTATTAGAGTTAATTAGACAGTAAGTCAATATGTGTTCTTACCAATTTGCTAGAGAAACGAGGATGCTTGGAAACATTAAGCTTCAAGGCACGTAGAATGACATCAGCATTGATCTTGGTTTTGCAACCGATCATGGTGATGATGCAACAGTCATTGCCCGGCGATTGGAACAAACGAGCCATAGGACTCAGCGGTTCTTCGTTTTCGTCCTCCACACTCATATTGTCTCTCTTTCCTCTTCTCCTTGCATACGCCACTTTCTATGTCTATTTCATCTCCAAGAATGGCACGCTCTGTCGTCACACACTGACACGTTCTATTTATTACACACTGTCAGGTCACGTTCTATGTAACGTAAGGTAATATAATAATATTGATATAAATGTTGTAATCTTGTGTGTCAGGCTTTACACGATTAGTTCTCTACATTTTACGCATTCACATACAACACACCCGTGATGCAGCCAATGTTACTCTCGTTGTGCGCCTCCTTTGTTCTGAAGATGTGTGACACTTTTCATATGTAATGTTCTCTTGATTGTTGGTCCACTTCACATTTTTTTGTTTCAATAGAGTTATTTTAAATATGTGCTTCTGTTTTCTGTACGAACATGTTCATTTTCTCTATATAACTACAAAAAGAAAACACCAAGCTAAGAAATTTACAACAAGAGTATTAATGTTGTGAAGTCGTTTAGACAATGATGAAGACGGCGGAGAACGATCAGGTTGTTTTGAAGGAGGTAAGGACGTTGTGTTTTCAAGAGAGCAATGGAAGTTACAGCGGCTCGGGCGAACGATTCTGTAAACACCAGTGCTTGCAAGTAAGTAGACGTCTTTATTGTTGTCTTGTCCAAAGGAGAATACAAAACCAATTGGTGGAGATGAGGAAGAGGAAGGTTCTGTTTCAGATGAGCAAGGGATTGGCGAATCGGAAGCGCATTGAAACGGGATTTGAGAGCTCGTGAAGTTTCCACTACCAACTGGAGTTTCAGCTCCACCCCAAATAATTCCGGCGTATAAGTCTGCAAAGAGATACCTAAAACACACTAAAAAGAATCACAAACAGAGGAATTGTTCTTGATTCACAATACTGGTGTGGTAAATAAGAAGAACAAGGGGAATGCGCAAGAACATACGTTCCATACAAGCATGGATCAGTGGAGGAACGGTAAAAGTATCCGCCAGTTATTGATGCTGATCCTTCTTGTTGGTTTATGTCTGAATGATTGTACCACATTACCGGGAAGATCGGATTTTCAATCTTTGTTGTTGAGTTGCTGATATTAGAAGAACTCGAGGGATTAAACGGCAAAGTTCCTTCGTAGTAATGCCAACCATAGTTTCCTCCCTTAGTAATCATATCAACTTCTTCATATTTGTCCTGCATGCAAACTCAACATATAAGGAAATGTTCATTGCTTCGTCTAACGAGAGAGTCAGATCAAGAATCTGAAGAGGTTTGGTTATACCTCTCCAACATCTGCGCAAAGGAAATAAGACGGTCTCTCTGAATCAAAACTGCATCGCCATGGATTTCTCACTCCCATGGCCCATATTTCAGGCAACAGATTCTTATCTTGCGAAAACGGATTGTCCTTAGGTATAGAGTAGTTTCCCCATAGCTGAAACTCGTTCATCGCTTTTGCATCTGAAAAACGATGAGAAACAAGAACCAAAATCAAATCCCATGTTCATTGTGAAGTATTTCAGCTGTATAGAAAATAGATATTACCAAGAACATTATTCACATCAAGTCTCATGATCTTCCCGAGCAATGATTTCTTGTTCTGTGCAAAGTTGTGTGGATCTCCTTTACTTCCTCCATCTCCCATCATGAAATACAAGTACCCATCTTTGGGCCCGAACAAGATCTGTCCACCGTGATGTGATGTATAAGGAAGACCCATTGTAAAGATTCTTCTTACCTCCACAGGTCTAACATAAGTCCCTGAAACATATCAATAACGTCTCAGCAACATCCAATATAAGGGAAAAATACAAACGAAGGTGATATTGTTTAAAATACCATTGGTAAAGAATTCTGATATGATACTGTGGTATTGACATGGTGTTGCTCCATTATCAGAATCTAGCTTTGCAGGGTCACAGTCAATATCTGAGTTGCATGCGCATTTTCCAGAACATTCTGGCCACTTAACTCTATCGCAGTTGAAAGAAGCAAAGAATCTACCGTTTTTCAAAAATTCGGGATGGAAAGCTATTCCTAAGAGACCAAGCTCAGCATCAAAGTGCACTTCTTCAGTAAGATCAAGAAACAGGTTAGTTTCGTCTATTTTCAAAAGTTCTCCAGATCCTTGAGCTGGAACTGTCGCCAAGTATATCTTCCCGGGTTGATCAGACAGAAAGACGCGATTAGAACCATCAGGATGAGGTACCATGTTAAGATAAGACCCATTTCCAAGCTTCTCGAGGCATATGCCTGAAGGAGCTGGACCGGTAACTTTTGAAATGTTAAATGAAACTGCCTGGCCATTGAAGCACACAGAGGATTCATCCGAAGCTCCACCAAAAATCTTGCAGAAGTCATTGCTTGATTTCCATATTTCAGATATTGTGGAAGTGATGTTGCCTCCATCTCCAGCTTGAGAAGCAAACGGAGTGTTGGTTACAGAGAGATTCTGGCATTCATTCCAAAATGTGGCACAGAAATCAATGTCTTCCAACGATTGTGTTGATTTACTAGAAGAAACTGTAGAGTTGCAGAGCACAGGAACTTGTCTAGATTCTGATTCAACACGGAAAAGTTCTGCTGCGAAAGGATCACACTTCTACAACCACAGCATCCAAGTAATCTAGTCACATAATGTTGCACCATGAAATGCTAAAACAGTATATGTTTTTGTTTAGTATAACGGCCTTACCGAGCAAAGTAATGATTTGAGAAGCGGAGAACATCTTCTAGATACGTTAACCGCTTTAAACTGTCTCTGCAACTTGGAGTCTTCCCGGGAGTTACAGCATACACTTCCATTGAATTGACAAAAAGCGAGCGGTTGCTTCAGATTAAACGGTGCAGCTGACCAAACAATTCAAAAAATCAGAAAAGAAACAAGACAAACACACAAAGTCATCAATCTAATCTTAAGAAAAAAGACAAAGAGCCACATACTCAAATCATTACATAAAGGATGTGACAAGGAGTTTTTGGCAAGAAACAATAGAAGGCAAGAAAAAAACAGTCCTATTGAACAAAGAGAACCCATTCTTCTTCAACAACAAAGAAAATTGGTTGTTTTGAGTCTTCTACAATTATTTTTAGGATCTCCAAAAAAGATTGAAATGAAAACAATCTTAACAAAGATAAATCAACGATTTTTCTGACTACAGATTCCACAAGAATGGAACTCTTACCAAGAAATCAAAGAGAAGACCAAAGCCCCAGACAAGAACTGATAAGAACATTTAAATAAATGGAGACTTTTCAGTTGAATCAGCAAACAACTAGCAGAATCTTTAATAAATCTAATATGCAAATTGGTTTTAAGCTAATAAAATAATATAGAATGAATTATTGACGTCAAAGAAATCAGCTGATTTAAGAGAAGATATAACACAACAAATCTTGATTTCAGACTTGTGTCTGTCTCCATACCTTCAAAACAAAACAAAAGGACAGAACATCATCCTCCATTCAATTATTTGATCCCAACAAGTGGTGATGTCACCGCATTAATACTAAGAAACACAAGCAAGAAAACAAACCTCATAGAGATAAACATATTCAAGCTCTCTGCAAAAAAAGCTAAGCAATCTTGGACAAGTCCAATAGTGTAATTCCCTTTTGATTTCTCCATCATGTGTTTCCTATATAGCAAAAATGATGTCAGAAGATGATTAATGATTTATTCTTAAGGTAGAAGATGATTTAAAAACTAACAAACAAATTAAGTTCTCGCTTTAGCCTGCAATGGAACCTAAGGAAACCAATTAAGCACACATTGGTTTGTGAATCCTGGAGGAGAAACAAGTGAAACATCAAAAACCGACAACGTTTTAAGACCACGAAACGACACCGTTTTAACAAAAAAACTTGCCGTTGCAGTGTCGTAGAAACGACAGCGTTTTATTCTAACAAAACGTCGCCGTATTGTATACTGCTAACGGGCGTCGCTTTTCTAGCTAAAACGCTGTCGTTTTAATAAAAATGTTGTGAAAGAAAAATCAAACTAACTGTAGGAGCATGATGTGATGTAAAAGGAAGACCCTAGCTTTGATATTCTCTCCATCGGAGTAACCACTAACCACATGGCAAACGAGTAGAACAGTCCCAGTTTCGACCTACATTGCATAATGCAAACATCCAAATGAGAAATGATAAAAGCTCTTTCCAAAGATAATGAAGAGATTTTAAAACATATAAGAAGCAAATTACCATATGGGAACTCACCAAGTGACCCAGAACTTGACGAAGGAAATGAAAAGTCTTCTCGATTAGGAGAAGTATTGCGGATAGAGTTTGGGCCATATGTTTAGGCCTGTAACTTGTTGTTTAAGTCATAGTCTGTTATTGTAAACCCTAGAGATAACCCTAGAGATGTTCTCTATATAAGTCATTGTATCACAACTTAATAAAGCAAGGCAGTTCAATACCTAATTCTACATGGTATCAGAGCCAAGATCTATAACCTAAAAAGTCTTCCGTTGTTCTAGTTTCGATTCTTTGGTAAAGAATCAATCTCTTGTGTGACAAGTTAATATGGTGGGTGAAGAAGAAGATTCCTCGTTGTCAAGCTCCAGAGCTGCGGTGCAGAGGTCTGAAGCAACGGCGGTGTCGCCGTATAGGTTGGCAAGCTCCGACAATCCAGGGGCGGTGATCTCTTCGGTCGTGCTGACTGGTGATAACTACAACGAATGGGCAACAGAGTTGCTGAACGCCCTTCAAGCAAAGCGTAAAACCGGCTTTGTCAATGGCACGATTCGAAAGCCGTCGATCGGAGATCCAAACTTCGAGAATTGGACAGCTGCGAATTCAATGATTGTTGGTTGGATTCGTTCCTCTATTGAACCAAAGGTGAAATCTACTGTAAGCTTCATATCGGACGCGCATCTGCTGTGGGAGGAGCTTAAGCAGCGGTTCTCTGTGGGGAACAAAGTGCGGGTTCATCAACTAAAGGCTGAGCTTGCGTCGTGTCGTCAAAACGGACAGCCGGTTCTCGAATACTTTGGAAGATTGAGTAAACTTTGGGAAGAATATCAAATCTACAAACCGATAAAAGTATGTATGTGTGGTCTGTGTGTTTGTGGTCTTGTTCATGAAGCAGCAAAAGAAAGAGAGGAAGAGAAGATCCATCAGTTTGTGTTAGGTCTTGATGACTCTAGATTTAGCGGAGTTTCTCAAAACATCATCTCCATGGATCCGATGCCTTCTCTTGGTGAAGTGTACTCACGGATAATAAGAGAAGAACAAAGATTGTCTGCAACTCGATCTCGTGATCAACAACATGAAGTTGTGGGGTTTATGGTTCGTCGAGAACAGAGTGAATTGTCTTCCTCTATGGGGTTGAATCGAGGTGAAAATCAGATTGGTATCAAATCCGATTCTTTGAGTGTAAGATCTCGGGTTACATGTTCTCATTGTGGCCGTACCAGTCACGAAAAAAAGGAATGCTGGTCAATTATTGGGTTTCCAGATTGGATGGAGCGATCTGGTGGTGGTCGTGGTTTCGGTGGACGTGGCCGTGGGTCTGGTTTTGCTAATGCTAACTCTGGTCGTGGAAGGGGACAAATTGTCGCAGCTCACGCCACAAGTTCTAATCTGTCGGCTTTTGCAAATTTTACACAAGATCAACTTAAAGTCCTTGCTCAGTTAATCGAAGAAAATTCAAGCAATGGAAGTTCTGATAAATTGTCTGGTAAGATAAAATTTGGTAATGTTGTTCTAGACACCGGAGCGTCTCATCATATGACGGGAACGCTCTCACTTTTGTCTAATGTTGTGACGATACCACCGTGTTTGGTGGGGTTTGCTGACGGAAGTAAAACAAGTGCCATTAGCATGGGTGTTTTCCCACTTTCAAAAGATGTCGTATTGACTAATGTCTTATATGTCCCAACGTTAAATTGCACACTTCTCTCGGTTTCAAAGATTGTGAAACAGACCAAGTGTTTTGCCACATTCACTGACACTATTTGTTTCTTGCAGGACCGTTTTTCGAAGACTCTTATTGGGACCAGGTAAGAGCGTGATGGGGTGTACTATCTTACGGATGTGGCTACAGCAAAGATTCATACAACAATTGCGTCTCCAGATCAAGCTTTATGGCATCGGCGTTTGGGTCATCCGAGTTATTCAGTGCTTTCGGATTTACCATTGTTTTCTAGTTCTTCGTCCTCTGTTAGCTCTAGTCCGTGTGACGTATGTTTTCGAGCAAAACAAACAAAAAAATTTTTCCTACAAGTTTTAATAAAACTCTCGATTGTTTTTCCTTAATCCATTGCGGCGTTTGGGGTCCATATTGAGTTCCATCCTCCTTTGGAGCAGTTTATTTCTTGACTATAGTAGATGACTTTTCTCGAGCTGTTTGGACTTATCTCTTGCTCGAGAAATCAGAGGTGCGACGTGTTCTCACGAATTTTCTAAGCTACATGGAGAAACAATTTGGGAAGTCTGTCAAATCTGTTCGTAGTGACAACGGTACGGAGTTTATGTGTCTTTCCGAATATTTTCGTAACAATGGTATTGTTCATCAGACATCATGCGTTGGTACACCACAACAAAACGGACGTGTTGAAAGAAAGCATAGGCATATACTTAATGTCTCTAGAGCTTTGTTGTTTCAAGCTAATTTGTCAATAAAGTTTTGGGGAGAAGCGGTTTTAACGGCGGCTTATTTAATTAATCGCACTCCTTCTGCCATTCATAAGGGACGAACTCCTTATGAAATTCTTCATGGCAGTAAGCCGTCCTATGAGCAATTACGAGTTTTTGGCTCTTCTTGCTATACTCATCGTGTTACACGCGACAAAGACAAGTTTAGTGAAAGAAGTCGTCCGTGTATTTTTGTTGGCTATCCCTTTGGGAAGAAAGGCTGGAAGGTTTATGATATTGAGAGGAATGAGTTTTTGGTTTCTCGTGACGTCATTTTTCAAGAGAACATCTTTCCCTTTGAAAAATCAAATTCAAATCCATCTTTTTCAGTAGAGTCTCCTCGTTTGGTATCTTGTGATGAAGATTGGCAGGTTGTTTCTTCATTACCCGAAAAGGAGAGCAATGAAACAACTTCTATGTCACTCGTAAGGGGGAGTAATGAGGCATGCTCTTCGTCTTCGCCAAAAGCCGCGACTCTGTCTCCGGTTCAAGACAATGAAGTGTCATTGTCACCGGAACAAGATTTGCTTGAAGACTCTCCTGCCAATGATAATGTCGTGACGCCCGTGACTCTAGTTGATTTAGCTTCCAAGTTGTCTACTTCTAATACAGGTAGTGTGGAAGTTGTACCAGTTGCAAAACCTCGCCAAAGTCAGAGGCCACATAATGCACCAGTTTGGTTAAAGGATTACGTTACTAACAACGTCATTTGTACACCCGATCCTCTTCACGCTCTCTCCGATCCTACATCTCAGTCCTCAAATTCGGTTCCTCGTAAGTTACAATATCCTTTGTCTGATTTTACCTCCGATGAATATTTTTCTTCTGGTCATAGGGCTTTCCTGGCGGCTATTACAAGTAATGTCGAGCCAAACCATTTTAAAGAAGCTGTGAAAATTGATGTATGGAATAAAGCCATGACTACAGAAGTTAATGCCCTCGAAATCAACAAGACTTGGGATGTATGCGACTTGCCACCAAACAAGACTGCTCTTGGAAGTCAATGGGTTTATAAAACAAAGTATAATTCGGACGGTTCAGTGGAACGTTACAAAGCTCGTCTCGTTGTTCTCGGCAATAATCAAGTCGAAGGTGAAGACTATAATGAAACTTTTGCTCCCGTGGTCAGAATGACAACAGTTCGTACACTTCTTCGTTTAGTAGCAGCAAATCAATGGGAGGCATACCAAATGGATGTTCACAACGCGTTTCTTCATGGTGACCTTGATGAAGAAGTTTACATGAAGCTTCCTCCTGGTTTTCATCATTCTCATCCTGATAAAGTGTGTCGACTTCGCAAATCTCTGTATGGATTGAAACAAGCTCCACGTTGTTGGTTTAAAAAGTTGTCTGATTCTCTTCTCAGGTTCGGGCGGGTTTGTACAATCTTATGATGATTACTCTTTATTTTCCTACACACATAAAGATATCGTACTCCGAGTGTTGATCTACGTTGATGATCTTTTGATTTGTGGTAATGATGGCTATATGCTTAAGAAGTTCAAAGAATACTTGGGTCGTTGTTTTTCGATGAAAGATTTGGGCAAACCCAAGTATTTTCTTGGCATTGAAATCAGTCGAGGACCAGAAGGAATTTTTTTGTCGCAACACAAGTATGCCTTAGATATCATCGCCGATTGTGGGGCTCTCGGATCATGGCCAGCTTCGACCCCTTTAGAGCAAAATCATCATCTCGCCCGTGATGATGGTCCGTTACTTTCCGATGCTAAGCCATATCGGCGACTAGTTGGTCGTCTTTTGTATCTCTTACATACAAGACCGGAGTTAAGTTACTCAATTCATGCAAGCCCAAGAGAAGCTCATTGGGCTGCGGCGTTGCGTATTGTCAGGTTCTTGAAAGGGTTACCCGGTCAAGGAATTCTCCTCAAGGCGGATAAAGATTTGTCCCTAACGGTTTATTGTGATTCTGATCACTCGTCTTGTCCCTTGACCCGTCGGTCTCTAAGTGCTT